TTGACATCAGTTTTTTTTCACTAATTGAATTCGCGATTGTATTGTTCATCACCGAACGATTCTGGACGTTCTCGCATTTTGCGTAGGATCAAATACTTGCCCCTATCCTCAGAGCATTGTATTACATAAACGCTCCTTGCAGGAAAGTATGATTGCTCTTCTTTTTCTTCAGTAAATAATTTTTCAATCTGGGAATCTACATGCTTAAATAGGCCTTTTCATCCGGACAGAAATTATGATATCAAAACACTATTCCTGATATGAACAGGTAAAAATGTTAGTTTAAATTATTTACCAACTCTGTGGTAGTAAAGCTTACCATATTTTTATTTCCTCCCTTCCATTTCCTTGATGTTTCTATTCTTGCGATAAAAGAAGAAAAAAGCGCTCTATCTTTAAAAAAATGGAATACGAGACGATCACTGCATAGTTTTTTTCCTATCCAAAAGCCCAGACAATTCTTTCTGGATAGATATCAACGCAGTGCTCAAGTGAAGGTGTACCACAATATCGATGTTCTCGTTTCAGGCTCCTATGCCAGGACCAAGAGGTAAATGATATACAAGTACATTACCTGACGGTCGGTAGTCGAGAAAGCGCAAATACATTAAAAGAAAAATAAGTAATGGTTCCCTCAATAAGAAGAAGAATAAATTAAACTTTCCGAAATTGGGAACGTTCACGATACCAGCAAGTAATGCTTTTATACCGATGTAAAATAATTTTTGGTGTTCAAATTTTCCTTTTTGCAGAGATTTTTCCCACCCGTAATCATTTTGATTTTCCTTCTCTTCCGATAATAATAATGCACACAAAAACAGAAAAACCAAATTTAAGATTGTTTGGAAGATTTCCCGTTGAAAAGAAAATTAGACCCCCAAAACAGCTATGACGACTACGTCACTGACATAATATTGATAAAATCATAATTTCCTGCACTTTTCCTTTCACCGCAAAGAAAAAATACATTGGTGCTGAAAAAATTTGGATATTTTATCAAAATTTTATATCAAAATAAGGTCTAACCTCTAATTTATCTAAAGAGAAATTTTTGCAAAATAATCGGAATCATAATCAAGATATCTTGAAACAAAAATGAGTTTAAAAATGGAAATTGGCCTATCTTTGATCTTCATAAGCCTTCGCACTTTAGAAATTTTGCAGAACGTGAGTCGCATTTACTGAAAGCCTTTCTCAGATTATTCAGATGAAGCGAGTTGAACTTCAGGACCCATTACGAATTCAAGTTCTCATTCGGTCGATACCACTCAGCACATAGGTGATAAAAACCAAATAGTCTTGGTAAACGATAGATAATATCGTTCCTGACTTGTGTATCTTTGTAACTTTAAAATCTCTCTCGTACACTCGAACTTTCAGCTACCTTCGCCTCCATACAACCAGAGCTTGGTTTCACGAGAGTTCTTCGATGAGGTCTGGAAACCTTTCTTCCCTTTCTGCCCTTTGACCACATCTAAGCTTCAAGTTGAGGTTAACGAAAAGATTTTCCGCGACCGAAATGACGTACATGCAGATTTCTCCATTTTGACGTTGAGTAATTTTTTCATGGCGTCGCTGACGTCCAGCGATCACTATCGACAGCTAGGCTTACAGCCCTTTGGAAAACTACTCAATAAATATTAACGTATAAATCGGTGAATTTCAAATTTTAAATTGTCAAGTGAAATTAGCGTTAAAAATGTGCCAATCAGATTAATGGACGACGAAATGTTTTATCTTTTCAATCTGCTGTAGATCTCGTAGTTCGTACGGCTGAAGTAAAATGATTCAAAGAACTTTGAATGAGATTCGATGAAATTATATGACAATGAAGACAAAACATAGAGCAGAAATTTTCACTTGAAGAGCGTCTTTCGGTACAGTTCTTCCGAATAAGCGTTGTAAACTGTTACCACTACATTTGGAGGTATTTGGCATTCTTAAAATTAATTTTTCTCAAAATTTTTATTAGCTGGGGTAGAGAATCAAATTGGACCACGCCTCACAACCATTGCATAGTATATGAATACTGCTGGGGTAGAGGTCCTTCTTGTCGCTATTCGACAGACATGACCTGAACATTTTATGGAAAAATGAATTCTACTAATTAGGACCGAGACGAAAGTTAATTCTTGTTGTACTTCGTGCCCGTAAACTTTCTATTACATTGTTTATTTTATGCAAATCTTTTCACGAAAAAGTAGATAAAAATCTTAGGATTCTATTTCCTTCCCGTGCGTAGAAAGTCTGCAACTTGCTGCTTGCTAAAGCGTTATTAACCAGCTTACAACGCTCAATTCACTTTCCTTTAGTTGATGTCATTTAATACGTTTGCACACATGTCACATGTGTTTGGCAGTTCATCAACCTTGAACAAGCAACCCCAACTGTTATAATAACCATTGTTGATTTTTAATTTTTTTTTTAACGAAATGGACTCGCTTTGAAGAGATCTTATTGCGTTTGGCCAGCGATTCCGGTTTTTCCTCTGCTGTTCATCGAGAGGTACTCGACATCGTTTCAGGTTAGGGTCTGCCGGTGAATTCACCACAAGCAAGCTGTTACCTTAGAGAAGCGAGTTTAAAAGGAATACGGCAAGAATATCACTTTGAATTTTTATCCATTAGAGGCTGGTTATTAAACCTACGTTCAACTGTTGTGCAGAAAAATCAGGCTCGAATCCGAAATCACCCTGAATTCAGCCACACGTTTCATCTGAACAAACACCGCAGTAAAATCATTCATTTTAGATAATCCACTTTAAGAAAATCTCAAGGTTCAGTGATTGCCTGAAACAACGGCCTCAGTTAGACTTCTTTTATAAACTGACTCGAGCAGTTGTGGTTACTGATAGCTATCTGTATATTTCCGATATTTTTCAAAAGCTAGTCATAACATTATTATCCATTAACTGATATGATTTTGTACTAACTGAAATGAACATTATATTAGACTGCACTCATAATTAAAAGTATGCTATATTTCTCAAACGAAACTTTCTTCATAAGGAAGTACAAGACAAGTACTGGACGTTGAAAGGTTATTTTCGTCAAGGAAAGAAATATGAACAGGGAAGCCTAACTCGCCAGCTGTGCTCCTAACAGGTAAATTATATTTCCTACAATGCACTGTCATGATATGCAAAATAGTTACGAAAGGATGCATGCAAAAAGAGTATGAACAATGACAATTGTATGCATGACGCTTGGTGGAAAATGTTTATCTCCCAGTTTACCTTTTTTCACTTCACGTATGTAGAAGAAGGACGAAAAGTTTAGGATTTACCTTTTTTTTCAAAATTTAGAGATGAAATCAAATAGTAGATGTCGTCGGTATAATCGCGCGGAAGAACCGTACCATTTTTATCTTCTTTATGCATATATAATATTGTTTTAAACATTCTTGAATACTGCCTCTCTCGTCATTTTTCTTTTCCTTACATTTTATTTACGTGGTCTCCTTCGAATGTAATTCAAAATGCTTTAGCTCATGTCGTATCTTGGCTTTGGTGCGGTTTCACAGCTTCCTGCCAATCATCTTTGATCAACTGAGTTTCTCCACTGAATTTCAACCCTTCGCAGTAAATTTTAAATGTCTACTCAGTATTTAGGATCAATCGACCAGTTCTCTGCCAATCAGCAAGCAGAAATATTTATAGGTGTGTAAAATAAAGTTCAAAATTAACACAAGCACAAATCATTACGACGGTGGCGTTAAGATTTTAATTATTGTTGTCATCATTATAATTTTTTTTTGGTGGATTTTCCATGAAAGGATCTAAAATACGATTCCCTTGCTAAAAAAAACTTATGCTGAAGAGGACTGCAACTAGGTGCTCCATAAATAATCGCAAAAACATCCTCACCATCGAACTACGTCTTCTCTACTGGCGTGAAATCTTTGTTGCCCAATTTATGCGTGGAGAAGATTGAGGTCATATCTTATTATTCATTCTTCCATGAATTCGCTGAATCAAACAAAAAAGGTAACAAAGCTTGAATGCATTTGGGACTGTAACTGTGAATTTCTACGGGAATCAGAGTTCTTTGTTGTAAATTTATTAAATGAAAGTCGTAAGTTTTCTTGCACTCTAACGCTTTTTGTTGCTGTTTGACGGTCTCTCGTTGGTGATCTCCAACATATGGTTTCGTATCCTATAGGAGGCAGCGCCAAGCTTTTTTTCCCCTTGAATTTCTCAGGTCCCGTTGCAGTTCACCTGCAGATGGACAATTTTGTCATTTAGTTATCAACCACATATGAAGCAATGTGCACTTAGCATAAAATTGTACCATCTTGATCAGCGGGCGAGAGTTTGTATGTATATGAATTGGCCACAAATTTGTACGAATTTTTATCTCTCAGATCTAGATTTCAGTTGTTTTTATCACTTCTCTGTTTCCCTTTCAATTTTTTTTTTCGGCGGGGGAGGGTGTGGGGATAATATATAAATAATATCATGTCAACATGTTTTTGTCATCTTGAAACCTTTGTTTTGTTGCCGTTTGAGGGTATCCAGTCGATACCTTTTTATTTATACACAACTGTCGGCATTGAATTTCAATACTGTTCACTGAAATTTTGCATCCCACTAGGTTTGATTGACGTCACAATGGACGTTTCGTCCTCACGATTGTCATTCGAAAATTCTAGCATGTTTGTAAATTATTTTGAACATCGTGGTAGAAGACCGATCAGTAGTTTAACTATGGAGAAAGACTCTGGATATATCTTGTTTTTCGTTTTTTTTTGGATGCACGATAAACGTACATGACGGACCGATTACGAGACATTCTGAAAGAAAAATCTAGAGAGTGAAATATGATAATTACTCTTAAACACATTCGACAGGCTCCGTAAAATGTTGTTTGCTCGTGTTTTATTGTTTTGTTCACTAATTAAACTCTTTCAATGCAGTACTGCCTGAGGCAATTTGCTTTTTGAGCTTTGAACAGTTTAGCTACAATTAGTATCAAATCATTCTCCCAGAGAAGTGCTTTTATTGTGTGCTGAACAAACTTATGGAGGCACAAAACAAAAACTGGAAAATATCAACAATTAGCTTCCATCATTTGGTTGATGTAATAACATCTGCTAACCACCAAGGCCACGGTAATCATCCTAAGCATTGAAATGCAGCGAAAACCACAACCACTTTCGATTGCGAGTAGTTGCTTACCGGGTAATCAGTAACGCAGAACCACGATCGGGCAAGCGATCTGACTGTTGTCCGATTTGGAAACATCCTTGTCTTTGATATCAATAGATGAAAATGGTGAGTTGTTCTTCCCTTCTTATACGTTCTATAATAAGACAGACCTCGACTTCTCTTGAAGAAGCGGGGTTTTTATGGCTGACTAGGTAGCGACGGCTTCTCAATGATGAATATTAAAACGAAAATCATGTTTTTTAATTTCTTTTAAATGATGACAACCTCAGTGATTAATGCTCACAATTAAGACTTGCCTAATTTTTTTTCTTTATGGGATTACTAGCATCATTCGATTGACAGCTATCTATCATTTGATTCAAAATTCTGTCAGATTAAATGCCCTGTAAAAGAACAACAAAAGGAAAACAGTTCTCATTTTTAACGACTAAAGAAATTTGTCTTGTTTGTTTATTTCTTAGGATCTCCCAACATTGAGACGTAGTAAATGTCAATGAAAAACTCGAGTAACAATATGCATAAAGAATCCATGTTTGTAGTACAATACACCTTAACATATGAGCGACATAATCAAATTACGGACAAAACTCAATACAATTTACTTAGCCATTACAATTTAATAGATGTTAAGTCAATTTAGTTCAGTTCTCCAAAGGACGGCAGAAGGTGTTAATGCTTTCTCGGCACCAGAACATGAGTTAAACGATCGGTTAAAGTGTTGGTAAGCATTTATAATAACAATGGGAAAAGCTTTAAGTATGGTGACCAAAAGGTGTCTCCGTGGCTTGCCCACGATTGCTTTTCGCAAAAGTGTGTTTAAAGACATAAATTAGAAAAAATTTTTACGAATAAGCGAAGGAATCTTCAAATGATGAACTTAATTGTGGTTTTCCATGTTCTGTTCGCTTTAAACTCAGGAACAAATAATTTAAAATATTCCTACTTATAACAGTATTTTGGCTATTTTATAAAGATTAATTTCAGACAAGTTTTCATCTCATGCGTTTTAGAGGGCGACACAACAAAGCTTTCAATCCCAATGGCAGTTTGGCTTATCGATGGCGTGGCTCAGTCGTTTCTTGACATGGTGAAGTACGTAGACGTTCTTTTCAGCAGAGCCGAAAATTCAAAACATTCATTTTTTCGAGTTCCATTTCATTAAATTGTGAAACAAGAGGAAAACGATCGTTTGGAAAAGCGTGTCAAAAGAGTTCTATGATTACGTTAGTCTCCTGCAACAATTTTTCCTGAAGTTTTAAACAAGAAAAAAATAAATAAATCTTAGGTAGTGACAGAAAGGTTACCCAGAGTTCGCTTGAGAAACAGATGAACGCGATGACCTTGAGTATCATTAACACTTTCATAAGACAACCACTATCCGGTTTGCATTATGCAAATGATTGCAGACCGATTTTCAGTTCAGAAATACATGCAACCATAGTGAATTTATTACATCTACATTTACTAATTTGGATGATCTTTTGAGGAGTTACTACGTACCACAAGGTGCTACAGTTCCTTGGCTACAATTGCGCTCCATTAATTCAAATCAAAAGTTAATTTCCTTCAAGATAACAAGCACTGCGTAGGATTTGACTTCATAGCAGGTTTAATTTCGATAGAATGACCCTGTACGTAACATACAGAGAAAAGGGAAATGATTTTGTATGGCAGAAAAAAAAAACGCTCGCTAGAAATTATCTTCCCGTCTTCAGTAAAATGTGGTAGTTATCACCAAATCTACGATTTCAAGATTTCTTGCTGCCATAATAAGAACCTTTAATTACCCATAGCCCTGAGAAAAACGTCAGAAAATTGTAAAAAAACGACACAGCTACCAGAACTTTTTTTAATGAAAAGTAGTATAGGAAATCTGCATGCAATATTCACCTTTTTAAAGAACTGTGAAATATAAAAGGCAAAATTGATTAAAATTGGCAATGTTTACAATAGCGATTTAAAACATCATTGTCTTCTCTCCATTCAGGTCCAATATAAATCAGAGGAAAATACTTAATTGTCTGAAAGGAATGAAATATGTTTCTTGTCTGTCGGAAGCAGCGGAAATAGTAAAGAGCTAAACTCCGGTATCTTGTCGTGCATTCAAGAACGATGATATACTGTTTACCACGATATACTTTCTTTTTTTCTAGGTCGAATTAGAGACTAATAAGTCACGCTAATCCGCAAATTTAACTCCAGTGAAGTACGAATTGGGCGAAAAAGCTTGAAAACCTAAAGTTATTCTTCTTTTCTGCCAAACAGGTGGGTAATCTTGATCTCTGGGATGTTTCCGAAGACTCTTTTTCGCCTCATTTGATGCACCCTTAAAGTGGCAAACAGTAAGCGAAAACTATAGAACATAGACATGATGGGAAAGATAGTAAAACCAATTTCGAAAAAGATGATGAATAGGAAAAGTAACAGATGAGGATGGAAAAATCGACTCGGATTTCAAATGACAAAACCTCAAAAACCTTATGCTAATTTTTCTCTGTATTTAAGATGCTTTTGTATAATTACGGCTCGACGCAATTGAGAGCTTATCGAAGGTATTCTAACAGTAAAATAAGTCAATCAAAATAACTAAATTTTTACTTTCGTTTTTTTCTTTAAGGGATAGCTGTTGCAACATGAGTAATTGGTACTGGTTGACGGCATGGTTGCCTTCATTATTAGCTATTATTGGAAATGGCCTCGTGATTTATTTGATTCGTTCACGTCCTAGACTGCGGACCTTACAAAACAGATTTGTTCTGTCGCTTGCAATAGCTGACTTCTGTGTTGGGACATGTTATTACCCAGGGCATGTAATATGCAACTTTTTGCTCGACTCAAAGTGCAATGTGATGATTAGAGATGACATTGCTGTGTACATGATCTACTCTTCTGTGTCCAATCTGTGCGCCATGGCTATCGACAGGTACATCGCCATTGTCAGACCTTTACGCTACTTAACACTCATGACGACTACACGCGCAAAAATACTGACGACAATAGCATGGATGATTCCGATGGTAGTCTACTTTATTCCCGCCATTTGTGTCAGCCTGAAATTGTTTAGCATAAACTTTAAGATAAGTGTGGTAATCTGGACCACGATTTTCGAATTTATTCCGTGCACGTTGTTGTTGTTCGCTACCATGCAGGTTATCATTATCTCGAAGAGGCATCGCCGAAGAGACGCAAACTTCTCTCAGTTAACGCTTCGACAAAAAGCTTCGACATCAGTGATTGGATCAGTTGTGGCTATTTTTCTTCTTTGCTATGCTGTAGAGGTTTACAGCTCGTTTTGTCATTTTACATCATTGTGTACTCCACATGATAACATATACAACGCAGTGCGTTTTCTCATTATTGTTAATTCGGCTGCAAATCCTATCGCTTATGCGTTGTTCAAGAGAGACATGAAGAGAGAACTTGATAAACTTATCTGCAAAAACTCTTTCACGAAACCAAGCCTTTTGTCGAGACGTAGTAATGAAAGATCGACCAGTCTTTGAGTTATCACAACTGCATATCTTAGGAAGAAAACAGATACGGCTGCGCTTTCAGAGTTCTAAGGTGCGACTGAACAAAAAATATGTGATAAAATTAGGCGTTAAGGATACCTACTCGTAAAAGCTTATTTTACCCTGTTGTCTCGTTTCCTATATCCGGACCTGTTGTGAAATAACTAGAATGACTACTTCGGATGAAAACAAGACAAAATGAAGACAAAACTACATTAGAATTTACTATGAAGTATTACTGTTCTCTCTCTTCCATAACGTTGAAGAACTTTGACTGACGCTATAAAATAATAAAAAAATTTCCTCCAGTTATGGATAATTAGGGTCAAAGCGCGTGCGATCGAGTAACCATTTTCTGTCGTTAAATCTTCAGCATTAAATATTATAATTTCAAGATGAAATTTATTTTCTTAAGTGACATGCGAAGGAGTGATGTTATTCATAACAGCAAGAGAAGGGCCTCTTTTGGTTACAGTTGTCACAAGTCTTGTCATGACTCCTTAGGGATTCGATCATGAGAGACCAACGTGTATGCCGACAATGACTGTTGATATAAAAAGAGCACATTTATTATTCTACGACAATATTATAGCATTCTATTTACAATAATTTACGCCTAATTGAAACGACGTTGTTTAAAAAACAAACTGAAAAGGAGAAGGCCAAATAAGAATCAATCAGTATAAATAAATATGTTGCATAATTCTCATTCATTATTCTAAAGATGAGTGATTGTTTAGCGGGCCTCATTGCTGGATACCGCTTCAATGAAGAAAAATTGCTGTATTCTGCTGTTACTGAATCGGAAAGAACAATAGGAGACCCATACACAAAGCAGGTGGAAGATAAAGGCACACTGTGGGAGTTTAATGCATGTATTTAAGATCCATTTTAGTTTAAGCGTTGCCAAAAGAATTTCATCTTTAGATACTAATGAGATTGAAGACTTAAAGCCTGGAAAACTCAAGTCGTTATATATTATAACACCTCTGGGCCAAAATACAAATTAATTCTGATGCCCTAGCTATCTCATAAAAATCTGAAATAACTTAAACCTTGATGAAATGAGCCCTATGTATAAATTAAAGCATATCCTATGCTATTTTCATGAGTACTTTGAAAAATGTAGATTTGACTGTCTTGACTTTATCGCTTTCGCATGCATCTTTCCTTGTTCTTGTTTAAGCGTGTAATATTGACTTTTACTATGTATATTATGTCATATCAATTTAACAAAGCTTCAAATTTCAAATGTGCTTTGACATGAAAATAAAAAAATGTCAAAATGCAGCAGTGACAGCCTCAATTTCGCTTCATGAACTTGCTCAATCTATAGACTTAAACCCTAATGAAACTCTAATTCTTTTCAGCCGCGGACATCCAACTTGTAAATTTTGAATCTAACTTATTGCAACCAGATTGCATATATATTCTCTTTATAGTAAGCGAGAAATGCTTTATTATTCTTATTATTAGCAACAGTTCAGAGGACCTCAATCAGTCGCTTCAAGAAATAAGAGTATTAACACCCGAGATGAAACTAATTTCAGCATCCTTTTTCCCACTACTATAAAGTGAAAATAAGATGTCTTTATGACCAACATGTAATTGTAAAAAAATATGAAGTACTTATCGGGGTTTTCTTGACACCCTTCCACCCTATTAGAACTAAATGTTAACAGTATTCTTTGACAATTTGCAATTGATAGTTGGTAAAAGCCCCCTTCAGGTTAAGAATTTGAATGATTGACGAGTTGGTGCATCATATCTGTTATGTAATAATGGTATTCCAGAACAAGATCCTGTCCTTTCGAATCTTTTCAAAGGATTTACAGGCTTCTATAATTATCATGTTAGGGCCACAGTTTGTTATCGTAATGCTTTTTATCGTTATACGCTGGTTAGGTCCGCGCAAATCTAATGCATTCCCCGAGTGCATTTTAAGATTACATTTTCTCTACCGAACCTTCATCACGTCAGTGATTCAAGGAGGATTCGGGAGCCAGCCAACTACTGAGATGTTATCTTCCATTTGTAAAGGGCACCTGCAGTGTTAGATTATGCAATTCAAAATTTTGGGTTAAAGCCACATTTTTTGCGGTTATCCGATCAAAACTGGAACTTAAAATGCTACAAATCACACGGCTTTAGTTTAGAAGCGTGACCTTCATGTTACTGTATGGAAAAAAAAAAAGGAAAGGTGCATGCTCAAGTGACGAAATAAAATTTCAATCCATGAGGTTGACAAGTTAGAATGACTAACTAGGAAAAAGTTGTCCTGTGGTGTTGTCAATTGTCAGATTGTTCAACAAAGGAAGTACCATAATTTAATAAAAATCATATTTAGGCTTTCCCTTTAAAGATTATACGATAATTCTTCGTTAACTTCATCAAAAGGTTTTAAGAAGATTAAGGAGTCATTTTCAACATAGGATTCACCTTTGGTCAGAAATAAACGCATGTACGCATTTTTATTTTGCTTCGAGTTCTGAAGTATCACCTGTCTAGATTTCTTTCAGTCGTCGACGTCTGGCTTTCTGCTCACATGCATGCTGCATGCTTTTGTACGTGTTCGATGTTATCATCTCAAATCAACTGCACAGATACTTCATACTCTTCGATTTCTACGTATTTTTGTTCAGATTTGTCTCTTATGTAATGTAGAACACAGTGGTAAATAATAGCTGATTGCATAGTGATTGAAAACAAACGGATAAGTTAACATGCCTGAAAGGCGGTTTATTACAGCGATGGTCAATCGGTCATCGTGTTAACTTATGCGACTTGCATAGGAGAAAACGATTCACTTCAGAAAAGAAAAATACATTCGCCGTGGATTAATTAAAATCACTCCAAAAACAGTGAGAAACGTGTTTATGGTGTGCAAAAAGCCCAAAATTATTGACAACGACTGTAGCCAAGAGACACAGTCGCGGACAATACAGTTTCGTTCGAAATTCCCCCTTTGGTCAAAATGTCATTAGTAAAGTTAACATTTCTTTTTTTTTAACATTGCGATTTATTGTTGATCTTTAATTACAACTGAAACAGTCTCCTCTGACAACAAAATCAACATGGCTCACCTAGTTTAGCCACTCAATTATAGTGTTCATTTATTCCACTTTAACATTCCAACTGTAAGTAAATTACGACAAGGAGTTAGCGAAAACATAAATTGCTCGCAAAATAAAGTGAAAATAAATTAAATTTGTTAACTATATCCTCGATGTCTGTGACTAAAATCAATCTCTCCATATTGATTTACAGTTCATCAATACCTTGGCAATTTCAAGTTATTTTCAGCACCTACAAAAATCGCGTCCGCATGTTTATTATTAGTCTCATTGTTAAAAACATGAATAACATTTTCAGATTTACAGGATTTATTCAAAGAAATGATCGAGAAAATAATAGTCTCCCACTGTGATGGGCTCTAAACGATAAAAAGAAAGCCAACATCAACGGCATATTCTAAGGAACGGTGATTGTCTTCATTCACGCCATGACTTTTCCTAATTAAGGGTTAATACTGGGGAATCATTCATCTTTTGTACGTCATGTTTTCCAACTCAATGATGGCCAATGAAAGGGATGTCAATTACGAAATGTCCACAAAACATTTTAATTAATGTATTACGAGAAAGGCCTCAAAATAATATAAAAGCCAAGACATCTGTCAACTTTTGCTCCCATTTTTCATCGTTAGACTCGCAAAAAAAATTCGGTTTTTTATTGCTTTAAAAATTGATAAAAAAAAGACCAGATTTCTACTTGTTGTAAATTTACAGATAACATATCCTGAGGCACTGTTTTCTATTCATTCTGAGAAGAGCTGGTCAAAAGAAAATTACACACTAACCAAACCTTGTCATTACACGTACATGTATACATTTTTACAATCAGTTTAAACAAGAGAACTAGTGCTCCCTCTACATAGCGAATATTTTTTTTTTCAATCGTAACTCTGTTTTAAGATTCTTAAGGGACCTTATATAAATTTTAAAAAAACCTTAAACAATAACTTTTAGTGCTTATTTCCTTATCTGAAAGTCATCAGAGGGCCATCAGTGATTTCGAACCGAATATAAATTCAATGCTTTAATCCTATATCGCGGCAACTCATCTTGCCTTTTCACATGCATTGCAAGAGGTCAAATACCAGACGATCGTTCATTACTGCGTCTTGACCTTGTTTTGATAAAAGATCTCTTGCTGATGATCAAATCGAGTTCTCTTCTCATGTCTCTCTTCAAAAACGCATAAGCGACAGGATTCGCTGCCGAGTTAATTATCACGAGAAAGCGCACTACGTTATATATATGCTCATCTAGCGGGCATATCGACGTAAAATAACAAAACGAACTATAAACTTCCACGGCATAGCAAAGAAGAAAAACTGTCACAACTGTTCCTATCACTGAAGCCGAACATGTATTTCGACGCCATTTCAAACTTCGTTGTGAATCTCTGCGACAATGTCTCCTCGAGATCACGATTACTTGTAATGTAGTCAAAAAAAGTGCCGTGCAAGGAAAAAATTCGAAGATCGTGGTCCAAATAACTACACTTATTTTGAAGTTGATGTGAAATAAGCCAAAGCTGGCACAAACAGAAGGAATCAAGTAGACTATCAACGGAATCATCCACGCTACTGCGGCCAATAGTTTTGCGCGTTTAGTGGTCATTAGGGACCTATAGTGCAAAGGTCGGACTATAGCGATGTACCGGTCGAAAGCCATAGCGCACAGGTTCGATACAGATGAATAGATCATGAACACTGCAATGTCATCTCTGATAACCTTATTACACGAGTTGAGTAAAAATTGGCATATTGCGTGCCCTGGATAATAACAAACTCCAACACAAAAGTCAGCTATGGCAAGCGACAAAGTGAACCTGTTCTGTATGGTGCGAAGTCTTGGACGTGAGAGAACCAAATAAATAACGAGACCATTTCCAAGAACAGCTAGTAATGAAGGCAGCCAGGCTGTCATCCAGTACCAATCGCTCATGTTTAAAACAAAAAAACGCGACAACTCGGAGTGGAGCGTAACACCTCTAACCAAACATATGCTTCATGTACGAATTCGTTTCCTATGAGAGTGAACATTCACATGCCACCTGTTCTTCTTGTCAACTGAATAGTTACTGAAAAGGTGGCCCTAATTGCCAACGCGAAACGTTCTATCTATCATTTGATTTTCAGACCCTCTTTTTCCTTAAAACCACGAAACTCTCATTTTTGGCTGTCAAATTCAAGATGCAATAAAGATGCGTCGAAATCGTAATGTCTACTATACTTTTTTCCTTCAACATGAACTTGATGTCATTCCGCTCATTAGAACAGTTTATATGATAATCCCGTAAGTGAAGATCTCCTTAACATAACAATTGTAGTGACAGGCAAGCGTAATTGCAAAGAAGCTGTGAGTCTCCATGACCAAAAGGGAGGTTCTTCGTAAAAAAAAGGCTCTCATTCATTAGTGGCGAGCACCAAGCGACGGTTGCGGTTGTCAGAGAAACGGCTGCAAAAGGAGAGCTTCTCTTCATCATCTTTTTTTTTTCTCCTGAGGGCTACCATTTATCGGTTCTGCTCTTTCGCTCTTTTTTTTAATTTAAAGACTGGCAAAGGCTGAGACGGGAAATCAATTTAAAAATAATTTAACTCACAGTATATCCCGTTATAAACAAGCACCTTTAACCGATTTTAACCTACGAAGACCGCAAAACAAAAACGAGCAGTTATTCCAATCTGGCAACGGTTAAACTGGAGTTCTTGGCAAACTGAATCAGTTCGCGGCGCTCTTCTATTTTTTCCCTTGGGGTTGGGGGGGGGGACGAAACGGAGTTATGCAAATCGACGAAGGAATCACTTGAAAGACACCTTCCACGGAACCCCCTTTTCAAGTTAATTTAAGGTGGCGCAGTGCTCATTGTTTCGTCTTTTGGTTGGCTGTCTTGATCCTTAGTTATTAAACTTGTAAATGAGATATCAAAGGGGATTTAAAAGGATTATCATCAAGTTAAAAGAAGGTCTCCCGAAGAACCGGCAGATTTGTGGTTTGCCTTGTTAAAATTGAAATCCTTAGAGTATACAAGGCTAGTTCATTAACCTATTTAATATTCATGAAGATTACTTCAGGGAAATTGCAGGAATGTATCCTATTCTTTCTAATTCTTTCTTGCTTGATAAGAAAGTGGTGTTTGTTCGGGTTGTCTCTAGTCACTTGAAGAAAAAAATTGCATCAAATTTAATTAAAAGCATGAAACACAAACATTATATTTATATATTTATCTTATTCCCAGGATTACAACTGTACAAGTTTTGAGTTTAAACTGTTAAAATAGATGCGAAATTGTTTAAGTAGAGGTCTTATATGTTCCTCGCGGCAGGTTAAGAAGAATGAGGCACCTCGTCAACAATACTTAACCGCAAAACATAGAAAGCAGTCAAAGGACACTGAAATCTTTCGGCAAGATGACCTTGGAGCCCAAAGTAATTGGGTCTCAGAGATGCTTTCAGTCAATGATATAATGAGCTACATCAGAGTATAAATTTCGTTTAATACTTGTAATATTAAGAATACCATTGTATGAAAACCGGTCATTCGCTAGCAATAAGGGGACACTAATCGTCAAAGTAATATGACACCCAAGAATCTTAAAGGGCCTCCTTTTACCTTTTTTTCTCACACCACTGATTAGCACAGAATGTACTTGAGATGACAAAATTTTCAAAGTAAACAATCACTTAAGAGACAAGAATAAACCGAAATTAAAAGAGGATTGTTGATTATTGAAACGATAATGACAATAACGTTTACAATGATAGTGATAAAGAAAATGGCAATGATAATATTAATTATATATTTCAACTAATAGCCTTAGTTTGCGTGACAAACCATACGAACAAATGTATTGTTTTCTGTATTTCACGTCCATCAAAAATAAAAGACAAATAGAAACAGTAAATAATAGATAAACAAGAGGCCACAGTGGCCTTCCCTTGGACTTCCCTCTGTGATGGGGGTGTTTTTAAACAAAGTAACGCAGTAACGAGTAACGGCACTATGATCTTGTAAGTAACTGATTCTGTGGATATTTGAAAGCTTTTTTTTTACAAAAATAAAATATCTCCGAGGTTTGTCGTTTCGAGACAGAAGATTAAGAGGTTCTTTTTTAATTGCAAGTAGGCGAACACTCTGCAAACGTCGCGTTGCAACGCAAATTTTAATGAGCGACGTACTGCGAGACGCAAGTTTCGATAAAAACAATTGATATCATTGTCCTATCAAACACCGCATTTCAAGGAGAAATGATATCAAATTTTCAAGAACATAAAAAATCAATTTTGGGTTTTGCCAAGTAACCACAAATCCTTCCTAGGAGCCTGAAAACCTGTGCCTTCGCAGATGTAAACGACCGAATTTTAAACGTGGGGTTTTCCACAGGAAGCCCAAGTAATAAGTAGATTTTCACTTCACTTCGGCCCAGGCCAGGTCAGTTTCGAGGAACTGGCTCTAGTTTCGATTCCTTTTTGTCGAAGCACTCGGTGAATGTATCTCAGGAAACCTTTCTAGCTTTCATAGAGAATCCGGGATCATTTTCAGTGCACAACAAAGATGGGAAGACATCATAAGGTATTAATCTACGATGAAAGCTTAGGTGGCTAAACTAGAAGATTTGGACGTCACTTATACTGTTTATGGACGACTTTACGATGTATCTCGATTTTAGGTACCTATTGCCGATGACTAACCATTCAGGTTATCTAAAACGCCCGTTTGAAAAATAACTGGAAAGGGCTCAAATCAACTTTTAAATGACAGGATGAAATAATACTATTTTTAAGACTTGAACGAACATCGAGGATAAGAATTTGTATACTATTCTCAATGCTGTGCAAACATAGGAACATCATGATCAATGAAATTACAGTTCGAGTTTACGTGTTTTGTCAGTCATTCACTAATAATAATATTGATACGACATTATACCTTGTATTACTTACATACATGGAGGATTTCTCGAACAACAAGGGGATAAAATTTTTTCCTAAAGATTAACAGCTCGAAATAGAGGATCAAATACGGATCACAGTAACTTCGCAGTTTACCCGTTTAGAAAAGGTATAGGTAGTTAAGATAAAGTGAATTGCATATTTCCGAATTTTTAAGTAATTTCGTTCTTTTCTGATTACAGGCTTCTGTACTCCCTTTATGTTCAAGAAAGATAGACCTCAAAGGAGATCCTGCAAATGTGATTAGAAAGACACTATCTAGTCTCTGGCCGACTAGGATCCAGAAAATAATTCTGCTAATCATCTCAGCCATCTTCCTCACTCTAATCAATTGCTATGTAAGTGATGAGTTACAATTTCCAAGAACATTAAGCACAGAACTTGAAAGTTTTAATTGTATTCCTATTATCCCATGCGTAGTTTTTGGTGTCACGCCATCACTGAAATTGTTATCCTATATATATATATATACACACATATATATATATATATATAGGATTTAAATCGCCGTTTTCTTGACATTATTTAAGTTTGATTTAGTGACTTTCTAGCGACTTCTGATTTCGCTATCTGTATGGTTTGGTGCCCAAAAACACCCATATTTATACCTGGGTTTTAACTTTGTTGTTTGAATCTAATAATCACGTGCTTCTAGCGAGTACGCGAGCGTGTAAACAGGGGTTTTGGGCCGAAAGGTCTTAGTGGACAAATATTTGTATGTACTAGGTGATCCAAGTGTGACTATAGGGGAGAATAACGATTCACATGGCGATTCTAAGGCAGTTCTAAGAGATTTGGGCCTGAACTTTTCACTGATTTTTCAAAATGCACGGATAAATTAACGAATTTAGATTGCAGCCATTTTTGGGATAAATTACGAGGGGAGTGCAGAGTAGATTGCAGATAACAAATGAACTCCCTTAATATTTCAGTAGTAGCCAATGTACAGCCAGACCCCCTCCCCAAAGTTAAAATTTGGGGAAGGGGATGGCTGTATACAGGCTATGCAGTTGAAGTGCTTTAGCATCTCATTTTCTTCTCGCACAGTTGTTTATTCTACCGGAATTGCCCCAAGCTAATAACAATCCTGATGGAACATGTCCAACTTCATCATACACTATTCTTGGTCACCAAAATACGACAATCGGATGTCAGCTTTGCCCAGACTGTGCCCCAGGTCACCAACTAACTCCACCATGTGGCAGTAAATTACAGCAAAATGCTGCCTCAATAACCTGTACGACATGTCCATCCCAAAGTTATAAAGAGAGACATGGTAGTGCATCATGTAAAGCCTGCAGGACATGTCACCCGAGAGAGACCACTAGCCCATGTACATCAGAGACAAATGCACACTGCGGAGGCTGTCCTCGTGGAACCTACCAATGGGGCTACACAGTTGACTCTTGTAAAAAGTGCTCAACTTGCTGTGCAATAAAACGCTTTGCTGAGGTGGAATGCTTTTATCTGAGGCGATGCTTGAGAAAAAACTGCACCAAAGAAATGGAAAGTGGGGAACGCAACCCTCAACAAGTAGATGCTACAAATTCTCAAAGTGTGCGAATGCCTAAAAGAGTGACACCTCCTGTGCCAATGCCACTCCATGACCTTTCTTCAGGTAACAACTCAGACCAACTAAAAAAACAGGGTTTACAGGTCATAGTATCCAAGTTAACGAGAACAAGAGTTACAACAGAGGTGCTGCAGGCCATACAAAGAGAAAATGTAGAATCTGCTTCAAATGTGGCCAAGGAAGAAATATATTCAACTCAAATCATCTCAAGCAGTACCCACAACACCACCACTGGATCACAGAAGGGATTTGGAACTCTTCCCAGTGGGAATGCTGTGGAGCCAACGTTGCTGATGGCTGTAAGCTACCTTAATGAAACCATTAAACACTTGATAGCTGTGTTAATTTCACTTGCAGTGATACTTGGAATTATTGCACTTACTTCCGTTGGTTTGCTCATAATAATATGCTGTAAACCTCAGACAAGTGGTATTACGATGACCTGTTGTGCACAATACATAAATCGCAATTATGAAGGATTTGAGCCTGTTACATGTGACACAACACCTAAAAAAGGCAAGTTATGCAATAAAGAGAGAAAACTTACATGCAGAGGGTTCCCTCCCTGCTTTACTTTTCCACACAAGCAAATAGGCTAGTTATCTACAAAAAGACAAATATATCAAACTGTTCACTGACACAGAATATTTTACCAAAACAACTTTATGCTGCAATTTCAAAACTGAAATGCGAAGAGACCGACATTTGCACGAGAGGGGAGGCTTCAGCCCCTCCCCTTCCCTCTTCCCGCCATTCTTCCCCCCCCCCCCCCCTCATAACTCTCAAGGATAGTTAAGCCTTGCAGCAATGCCACGAACTATTGCACAAACTGTTTTGTACATCAAGATAATGATTAAAAAGAAAAACTTACTAAATTACAAAACAGTCACACTTAACATTACCACAAGATAGTACAGTTGATAATAAAAAACATTATCTGATCAGTTGTAGATATTTTCGGTGCAATTTCTGTTAATAAGCTGAACCTTTGGAGGTAACCATGACATACTGAGATTTCCCATTGTAATTTTTCAGATTATGTTGACCTAGTCAATGGCATTCAGGACGCTTTGAACAAAACCACCTCAACAGATGGCAAAGCTTCTGTTGACCTTGAAAGTGAGTTTCCATATATTTAAAATAGTTAATAATTAAAGACTAGGTTGGGGCTTTAAAATAGCTTCAAATTGTTTGCATGGCTATTATGTTTAGTACTTTCTGTGGTTTGCAATTTGTTTCCTTTTTGTTGTTGCAATTTTAATTTTTTTCTTTTGTTTTTTTTTGCTTTTGAAAATTGGGATATGGAACACTGAGAATCAGGCATGACTGTAATCACCATGTAACTTTCCTCTCCCTGACATTACTACCACATTTTTCATTTACTTGATACACAAGCAGTAGCCTCCATTCATTGCAGTGATATGGTCAGATATTTGTTCCTGGACATAAATATTTGTTCCTCAGAGCTTCCACTTTTCTCTGAGCTTTGCTCTCAGAAAATTGTCCACTCCTTGCAAAGGTAAATAATATATCTGTGACAAATGGATGCTTGCAGCTCCTTTGAATCTTCAGTCTTTGATGAGTAATTTACAGTTTAGTTTATTAATTAATATATTGATTCTAATGCTTACAGGTTTGAAATTGACCAACATATCCCAAGATGTCGAAGACATACTTGTTAAAACACTTGATGTGCCCCTAATGGGGAAAACTGAATGCGGCTTTGAAAAAGTGGGAAAGGCACTGGAGATTGATGACCTTAATCTTCAATACTTGAAGAACAACAAAGAAGGGAGTCCAACTTGGCAACTGTTGGAAATACTCAAAACAAAAAATCCACATTTCACTGTTGCTGATCTACTACACCCATTAAAGAACTAAAAGGATATAAATATCTTCAGACATTGTTTTTATACACTTCAGTATTTAAACACAGTATGAAAGTAAACATACTGACCCAAAAATGCTACTCCAGAGAGTACCTTGGCAATTTAACTTTTACACTTGCAGGTTGAGTAGTACTTTGTGTATACATGATTCTTGCCATGTCATTTATTATCAGCAGAAATTGACTGTGCCATCCTTCATTAGCATTATTTGAATAGATGTAAATAATTAAGTAGAGCTAACTTATTACCCATGAGATATTATAAAACACCTGTTTTATAAAATCTCTGATTAAGCAGGCAAGGAATTTGTTGATTTGAGATAGGGGAAGGATTTGGAGGGAGGGCATGTGAGGTGGCATGCTTAATTGAAATTTGCTGAGGGTTAAAAGTGTTTAATTCATCATTTCCCTTTTGAAGAGTTGGCCAAATTGAACAGCAACAAAATGAGGTATGCACTTCTTTGTTGAAGAGCCTGTGACATTTACTTCTGAAACTAGAACAGGAGTAATGTTTTTCTCAACTTTAACCAAGATCAAAAAGTTGCAATAGTCCAGCCTAACATTAGACTGTTTAGGCTGAAGGTAAGGAGGGAGGAAGGAAACATATAGTGGAGGGCTTTAAATATGGGGTGGTGGGAGAGCTTATTCATTGAACTTTGACTAGTTCATGGTTTTCTATTTGCACCTAGCTGATCCCTGAATATGCCATGTAATGAGGACATGAATACATGAATACCAGGGTGATAGGCTGAATTTGCAGAGGCCTTAAATTTAGTAAAGACGGAAATGTCTCCAAAAATGTAAATATAATTATTTTAAGGTGTGCAGTATTTAAAAATGTGTTTGTTTTTATTAAACACAGTTTTGAGAAAATAATATAAAAATGATACTAACATGCAATAAAATGTTTAACATTTTACTGGAAATGTTAATGGACAATTGTAAATTTGGGTGTTTTAGGACATACATTATTTAAAAGTTCACTGATTTTTTAACATAGTTTTGATAAAATAATACAAAAATGATATCACCATGTGATAATTGTTGAGCAACTTTTAGCAGAAATAATCATGATTGAATAACTTGAGACATGTAGATATTTTAGGGCACATAGTATTTCAAAGTTTATTAAATTTGGTTATTACTTAATGAAGATATCACCATGTGACAAAATATTCAACCACTAATGCAAATAATGATAATTTTTCAGCCCACATTGCAAGGGTGTATAAAAGCAGTTTCATTTGGAAAGTTCTACAAAAAAGTAGGCCATTTTTCGGAATCTTCAATCTGCGTATGCACACTTTAGACAGACTGTCACAGCATGTTGTGTTTTAGGAAATAAAGGCTTAAGTCATTCAATATGACCATAAACTAATTGCAACTTTGAGGTGTTTTCCTCGATTTATACTGACGACTAGTTTGGGAAAAATTATTACTCGGGCACCAGAGAGCAAAGTCTGAGTGTAGGTTTCAGCTTCCAATTGGTTTTTTTTTTTTTCTTTTTTTTTCTTTCTTGTTAATTCAAGCATCGGGTGACAGTGAACTCGACGCCCCAGCTGAAAGGGTCTTTCCTGGGCAAATTGGTTAAATACACATACCATAAGAAAAATAGTCCCTTACCTTTGTAATTACCGCATCAATTGAATTATAGTTCGAGCAATAATCTCTAAAATGGTCCTTGGCCTCTTTCTTTTCGTTTCCAAACAAACTGTCCGCCATTTTGTGATATTTGCTAGCAAGTGTTCTGAGAAAATACCTCTTTGGGATCTGACTTACGTCCGACTCGGGCCCAGTAGTTTCGCGCTTACTTTTTCAAAAATAAGCAGCCACAGGATGGTGAGTGCAGTTCTCTATTCCCGTTGATCAAAAACGCAATTTTGTGAGAGAAGAAATCATTTTTCAATATGGTACGCTGGTCTAGTGAGAGGACACGAGGACCAACAAGAGAGGATAGACAAACCTACATGTATATCAAAATTGTTCGAGAAAAAACTTAAAATAAACCACGTGAGGCGGGTGATGTAGTGCAGCTCGCTTTTACTATCGGAAATACATTACCTGTGTGTTTCATTTCGCGAACTGAGGGAAAAAGTTGCGTGACTTAGATGAAATCAGAAATGGTCACAAAAGAAATGATGGCATTTACTTTTAATTTCAAAACAGTGTAAGCCATTTTAAAATGAAAGTGACAGAAGCTGTTATGAGAGCTACCTTAAGACTGAGTTGTTTACCGTTTTGGTGGATTTCCGCTCCTCGATCGATTTTACGTCTGAAATTTCGTTCCTTGGATTGATATGAAGTATGTTAAGATGTTCCCTAAAGAGCCACGTTATTCGGGTGTATATGCTTCCACTTTTTCCAACCATTTTATTATCATACAGCCAGCGAAGTGTCAGCGGTAAAGTGTAGATTTATTACAGTGTATCAGAGGCCTTTATCATTCTTGCCAAATACGTCATCAAAGACAGTGTGGTCAAGGGGATTCCCCGTTTGAGAAGTATTGCTCGTCAGTAGGCCTCTATTTGGCATTGTTTCTTTTCTGGTTGTGTATTTGCAATGTTGGCCCGTCACTTGTACCTAGGCCCTCCCTGAGGGAAACTACATCCGGGCTCCCCAATTATTGTTGTTGTTGTAACACGAAGTGCTCGTGGTCAAGCTCGGGAATAAAGACTGTGTTCATTGAGCCCTCGATATTGTTTGAGTCGTCTGTACTGCCTGACATGGTGTCAGGAGTGGGATAGATCCGATAAATCGACAAGGGAAGCATTTACGGAGAGCAAACGTACATTTAGCGAATTCAACGACCGCAGCCGACTCGTCAAACAGCGATGGCGAACCTCAAGCGACCTGAATTGAAACTCGGCGGGAATATGTCAGAAAATTTCAAGAACTTCGAACTCAGATTCCACGACTACTGCATCCAAGCAGACTACCGAAACTTAGCGAAAAACCCCGAGACAGAGAGAGCAGATTACTACAAGAAACCGTTACTGGAAATATCAGCGCTCCGATCGGCAATGCCGGACGAAGCCTTGCAAGTGATCCGTTACACAATTGAACCCCAGATAGCAGCTGATGATCAGAAAAAACCATGGATCTGGATGGACAAATTACGACTTCATTACACTGGATCTATCGGAAGCTCCCTATTGGCGGACAGATTTAAATTCTGGAACACTCAGCAAAGCCCACACGAATCTGTTCAGGAATGGGAAGTTAAGGTCAGACAGGCGGGCAGCCTGTGCTCGTACAATGCACTGACCGACGAAATGTGCCGTGACAAATTCGTTTTTGGCTTGCACGATGGCACAATGAGAGCTGAGTTACTAAAAACGCATTTAAAGTCGGACGGAATGCCCAAGAACATGCAAGATGTCGTTGCCGAAGCCAAGGCCCTCGAGTCAGCCCAAAAAGCCAACAAACTCATAACAGACGCCACAAAAGGAATCGAGGAACAAGTTAATTGGATAAGCCACAAACAAATGAAACTAAAGCGGGAGCCTGGAACCTGCTTTTGGTGTGGAGACCGACGCGGACCTCACCCCTGGAAAACATGCCCTGCAAATGGCAAAACCTGCACTAAGTGTGGAATTAACGACCACTTCTCCAGAGTCTGTCTCGAGACAGGCGCCCCCCAACATGAACAACCAAGGAGAACTACCCAATGGCAAGCTCAGGGTAGGGGGCGAGGCCACAGAGCACCTCGCGGCCGGTCCCAACCAAAACCCCCTCGTGAACAAAACGTACATATGCTGCAGATGACAAATGACCAACACCCTGTGGAGTACTACACTGATGACTACCAAGAACAGTGCTACTCCCTGGAAACACGGCAAATACACAGTATCCACACAACCCACGCAAAGAAAAAATACTTTGTTACACTGCCCATGTCTGCAACAGGGAACAAATTCACCCCAGTGACATTCCAAATAGACACCGCCGCCACCTGCAATACCTTGTCTGAAGATACCCTTTTCAGGCTGATGCCAAACATGAAGCTTAGAAAGTCACCCTACCTACTACACCCCTATGGCGACTCCCAGCCGCTGAAACCACTGGGGCAGATCGACCTTCTGTGCGAAAGAAACAAACGATACGAATCGCTCACATTCCAGATACTTCCTAGGGATGTCATGATGAACAAACCAGCCCTTCTCTCTGGCTCCGACTGCGAGGCACTGGGGCTCATCACCATCAGGGCACACGAAATATTCTCACTCACATCAGCAGTAAGAGACTCGTCAGGCAAGAGAGCCCCTACCTACCCAGCCAGCTCGCCACAAACCAATCCAGACCCAGGCGACCCAGCAGCTCAAGCCAACGGTACACTCAAGGGAGTAAAAGGCCGCCACCCTGACCAACCCGACAGTGCCAACCCATACGGTGACCCAGCAACGCCCTCACCTTCTAAACCTATAATGATCCCTTCCAAACGACGCCTGGCCCCACCCGGGAACCTCACCAAGGAAGACATACTAACACAGTATCCTGAAAACTTCGAAGGCCTTGGCTGCCTGGGACCCCCAGTTCATTTCGAAGTAAAAGCTGACGTCTCACCAGTACAAATGCCAATACATCGAGTCCCTGTGGCAAAACGCATGAAAGAAAAGGAAGCCCTTGACAGATACACCGCAGCTGGTATCATAAAGAAAGTAGAGGAACCCACCTCGTGGTGCTCCAATGAAGTCATTAAAGAGACACCAAAGAAGACAAGAATCTGCATTGACCCCAGTCAAACAGTCAATAAAGGAATTCTCAGACCAGTGTATCAAATGCCAACACTGTCTGAACAGCTCCATAAACTCTGCCATGCCAAATGTTTCTCACTTGTTGATGTCAGAGAAGGCTTTCTACACGTACCACTTGATGAAGAATCGTCACTGATGACGACAATGCACACGTCTTATGGGAGATACCGATGGCTCCGCCTCCCATTTGGCATATCAAGCGCTCCTGAGGAATTTCAAAAGCGCCTCATGTCAGCTCTAGAGGGTCTTGATGGAGTATTATGCATCGCCGATGATATACTTGTGTTCGGAGAAGGAACAACCTACCAAGAAGCTGAGAAAGACCACGACCGCCGTCTTGTCGCACTTATGGAGCGCTGCTCCAAAAAGAACATAAAATTAAACCAGAGCAAACTGCAGTTCAAGCTACAACAAGTCAAATTCATGGGCAACGTCATAACTGATCGAGGAATGCAAGCAGACCCAGACAAGATAGCAGCAATCTCAGCAATGGCCCCACCCCGAAACAAAGCAGGTGTTCAGCGATTCGTGGGAATGGCCAACTATCTCTCACCCTATTGTCCAAACCTCAGCACCATCATCCGGCCTCTCACCCAACTCACCAAGTCAGATATCCCCTTTATGTGGGCACAAGCACAAGATGACGCATTTAACAAAGCCAAACACCTCATCTCCACTGCACCAGTGCTCCAATACTATGACCTCAGTAAACCGGTCACACTTCAAGTCGACGCTAGTGAAGAAGGCGTGGGCGGTGCCCTCCTTCAGCCCAATAGTGAAGGACGCCTCCAACCCGTAGCATACACATCAAACAGCCTCAACGCAACAGAACAACGATACTCCCAAATCGAAAAAGAGTGCTTGGCCATTTGTAACGCATTTGGAAAATTTGACCACTGGCTCTATGGCAAATCAGATATCGAAGTTCACACCGACCACCAGCCACTTGAGACCATCTGCAAAAAACCTCTGCACAAAGCCCCAGCACGGCTACAGAAAATGCTAATGAGACTGCAGAGATACCGCTTCACCATCCAATACAAGAAAGGAACCTCACTCTACCTGGCAGACACTCTCTCAAGAGCAGCACTACCTACCCCAGTACATGCCAGGGTCACAGGCTTTGAAGTATTCAGGACTGAACTCACAGAGGAATCCGATACCCACAACCCCCGCCTCACAGAAACCACCGAATCTCGCCTACGCGACGAGACCAAAAAGGATGAACACCTCTCCAAGTTAATGGCCACAATCGCCCAAGGCTGGCCGGATGACAGAAAGCAGCTACCACAACCACTACGAGCATACTGGACCTACAGAGACGAGCTAACCACTGACAATGGCCTCATCTACAAAGGCGCCCAAGTTATGATACCGCAGTCCATGCAAGCTGAGATGCTGCTGAAAATCCATGCAAACCACTTTGGTCCTGAATCAAATGTACGCATGGCACGAGACGTACTATTCTGGCCCGGGATGAGACAAGCAGTGTTTGATATGTGCAACAACTGCAGTACCTGCGCACAGTATGGATCAACAAAGGAACCTATGCGATCACTTCCGATTCCAACACTACCATGGCAGATCATCAGCCAAGACATCCTCCAGTACAGACAGAAAGCCTACCTTGTAACAGTGTGCCATTTTTCTGACTGGATCGAAGTGGATGAACTTGACGACACTTTGGCAACATCAGTCATTAACAAAACCAAAGCTCATTTCGCCAGGTTTGGCGTTCCACGTATCTGCCACACAGACAACGGACCACAATTCACCAGTAAGGATTACATGGACTTTGCCTCTCAGTACGGGTTCAAACATACCACCTCAAGTCCCTATCACTCCCAGGGCAACGGCCGAGCCGAGGCAGCAGTGAAAGTATCGAAGTCTATGCTAAAGAAATCAGATGACTTCCAAATCGCCTTGCTCAATTACAGAAACACACCACCAAAAGACCACACCTACTCTCCTGCCCAACGCATGGTGAGCCGCCGGACACGAACGACGCTCCCAACAGCTGACCACCTTCTCGAGCCCATGTCAATCAACCGTGACACTGTATCAGCAGAACTCAAGGCCAAACGCAACACCAGTAAAGCTCACTATGACAAGACTGCGGGCCCAGAGCAGAATAGCATCAACATTGGTGAATTTGTGTATGCACGACCACCGACAAGCAAACCAGGCAACCCTTGGGCATATGGCCGTGTCACCGGACAACGCCACTCAAGATCTTACACCATACAAACGCCCCACAGTACCATTCGACGAAATCGGATACACATCAGGCATGCAGTACCTCCCCCTCCCCAAACACCACCGTGCACCCCACCCACGCTCACGCCTAGACCAGGCCACAGCCTTGCAAATCACTACAATCGTCTAGGATCAGAGCTGAATATGCCCACTAATCAGCCTACACAGCAACCACTTCCCTCATTGGACAAAAGTAACAGCGGCCCAGTTCTCGACACCCCTTCCCCTCCACAACCACAAGAACCAAGCACACCAGCCACGGGCCCAAGTGAGCTGCCTATCGACACACCCCTTGCTACAATTCAAGAACAGCCAAGGGATCACCAACCC